TCCGGCCGGCCGGCCGAACCGGACGGACCGGTTCCGACCGGCCGTCGTTTCCGGACGGCTTTCTTGCCGTCCGGCCGGCCGGTTCGGACAGCAACGGTCCGTCCGGCCGTGCTTTCCGGCCGGTATTACTTGTCGTCCGGCCGGCCGGTCCGGACGGCTTTTAGTCCGTCCGGTTCCGGCGTCCGGACGGCTTTTAGCCCGTCCGGAACAGGCGACCGTACACGTATTTTTTCGTACCTCCGAATTTGACGACATTTCACCGTACACTTTCCTCTGAGATGTTTAGAAAAAATGAGAAGGGCAAAATTGTCCAAGGGGGGCGGTGACTAGTAAAATGGGGGGCGGTGAATAACAACACCCTAAAATTGTGATGGGAAAAGGGTTCATTTCAAAAAAAAGATTGAAGCGATGACCGGAATTTGCAGCGACATCGGAATTCAGGCGGCCAGGGACGGACACGTATGGTGATGGACTAATTTTGTTCGTACTTTTTTGAGATTTAACAAAAGTTTTATTAGTGGAAAAAATAAATTTTAGCTCTTGAGGTATATCCGATTTAGACTTCTACCTTAATCAGTTATGGTGATGGACTAGACTTGTTCGTACTTTTTTGAAATTTAACAAAAGTTTTATTAGTGGAAAAATTAAATTTTAGTTCTTAAGGTATATCTGATTGACTTCTACCTGAATCAATTTCGACACTAACGTTTCAAAAGTTAATCATTTTTATCCCAAATTTGCAAAACTAATATTGTTAGTATATCATTTGAACATCTTGACTTGAACTATTTAATTTTGTTAAAATTATCATACAATTTTCTAAAAGTTAGTATATCATTTAAAACATTAATATCTTGACTTGAACTATGTAGTTTTGTCAAAATCATCACTATAGTTTCTAAGTAAATGTATTACTATCTACTTTTGTCAAATTCATCACTATAGTTTCTAACTTGTTCGAAAAATGTATTTTAATATTTGACCGGCTACTATTTGAGATCTTGACAATGGATTTTTATTAAATATATATATATATATATATATATATAAATGTAACAATACAATGATAGTCAATTGAAGCTCTCAATTGTAGAAAATTGTGGTGTTCACGGTCCGGTTTTAATCGAAAAAAACTGTCAATCCAGACCGAAGATCGATTAAATAGTCAGTTAAAAAAGTCTTAAAAAATTCGGTGGTTAATTTTTGTAAAAATCCTAAATAACCGATCTGGTTAACGGATTATCTGCGGCAAACCGCCGGTTTAACCGGACCGGGCTGGTAAATATTAATAAATTATAACAACTATATATATGCATTCAATCATTCACTGTGACCGACAAATACAATACATTCATTTTAATTTTTGGCCTTTTGTTGACTTAATTTTGTAAGACACTATAACTTTTTACTTTTTTCCACCTCTATTTTTTCATTTTCAGATTTTTCCACCTTCTCTTTGCATAATTTAATCTTCATCATTTTTATATTTTTATGTTTAGATGAAATGTGTATTTTTATGCTTATGGGACGAATTGTGTATTTTTTATTTCATTATTGTTGTTTTTCTTATTTTTAGGCCCAAATAATCTCTTTTGGGCCCAAAATTGAAAAATAAAAATTAAGCCCAAAATGAAAAGAATAAAAATTGAAGGCCCAAAACAAGGATTTTGGATTTAACCGGTTAACCGCCAAACCGGACTGTCCAATGCAGTCTGAATTTTGGCCGGTTAAAAAATAAAACCGGTCCGGTTATGGACAAAAAAAAAAAAAAATTAACCGTTAAGTCTAGTTTGGTCACGGTTTAGGCTAAAACCGGACCAATCCGGACCGTGAACACCCCTAGTAGGAAAGATACATAAAAATTTCTAATTTTCATGCACGAGACTCGCCCGAAAACCTGCTCACTGTATAATTGACAGAATATGTCTGTTATCTGGAGTCTTTGGAAAGCTTAGAATGCCTGGGTTTTTCTAAGGAGAAATGTCCTAAGATGGTGTTAGTGGCTATGGCCCAGGCTGAATGGTTAGAATTTAATTCCATTGCTGACACACATTCTCAACCGGTACACAACTTGAGTCCAGGTAGAATCCATCAAGAACAATCTTCCAAGAAGGTAAGATGATCGAGTTAATCGTCAGTGCCTTTGTTGACAACCGATCTGATTTGTCAAAGATTAAAGAAGAAACTTACAAGCAGTATCACACCTTATCGTTCATACTCCTTTATACAACAAACTTATCTGACCTCGGCACAAAAAAAGTGACAAACCGACATTAAGACGGTGAACCGACTTCCCACTAAAGACAAAAATGACTTATCGAACATTCCTTCCTAAAGATTATCTACGTAAACCGATGTCCGAGCTGGCTGAATTCCAAAGCAGGTGACAAGGCATATACCTGATTAGGCCACATATTCCATTTGTAATCATTGTTGTCCCTCCATTGCCCTACATACCACTTTAATGAAGTTGCTCAACATTAAATGCGATCGAATTTACCTCATACGAAAAGTCAAATGCACCGCACTATAAATAGCAGAATTTAGTATTGTACGGGGATCTTTTTACGCACATTGTACACACATATGCAAAAACAGTTCAGTTATACATGAAAACCGACTTCATGTACTAAAAAAAAAAAAGACATCAAGAATACAAAATTTATATCGTTTTTGCTTTAAATACACCTTGCTATCGTTTAATATTGTTGTTAAATTTCATACCACAACAGCCTTAAGTTCTCATGGATCTACTTTTGAGCTCTGTTGCAAATCTGTGATTGAAGGGATAGACCAGACACGTTGCTTTAAATCTCTTGAATATGCAGATAACAAGGAGGAAGCTCTTCTCCATGCAGTGCGTTGGGGCTTGCAATTGGCAGCTTCTTGGAACTGGAAACATTTTGATTGTTTTCTGCAGAATAAATCAGTGGTCCAACACCTGCAAAGAAGAGCGGGCTTCTACCAGCGTTGTTTGCAATTACTCATGACATCTATACTCTGGCTTTCTCTTTTCTGGACTGTAATTTCATATTTGATCATGGGGATTTGTTTTGATTGTTTTGTTCTGATTGTTTAGTTACTTGCAGTTTAGGGCTCCTAGTGATTTTCGGTTGGGTTACTTCCTAGTTTTCATTTGTTAAATGGAGGCCCATGTCAACCATTTGGTTGTTCGATTGTAAAACTTTTTATGTGAGTATGAATTTGTTAGTTATCATTTGA